CAGATGTAATCCTTACCAAGACTGTTACATTTTTGTAGATTGCTTTGAATTACTTTGATGCTGCCACCTCATCCAGATGAAATATGTAATTTGGCGGTTCAAACTTTAGATGGTGGCTGCACTGCTCAGAATTCCCAGTGTGGTTACTCCTTTTAGTATGGTGATGGAAATGGGACATCGGGTTATTATTGTACATGATATGTTATTCTTTGACACAGTTCCCAGGAGGTATTTGGTTACAAAATCTTTGCCTACCGTAATTTTTGGTAGGCATGTATCAGATAGGTTCTTTTGTATGACTTGGGTGGTGGGGATAATATTATGTTTGTTGGAACTTACATGATAGAGATTTGTTCTTGAAACAGATGTAGCAACTATCAGTCCGGAGACTTGACCAAGCCAGACAGAGCTGATGATGGGATTTTTGGGTTTGGGCAGCACGGACTGTCCGTCGTTTCACAACTGCCACCAAAAAGTTTCAATTCAAATTTTTGACATTTCTCCCAGGATGGGGCAAGAATTTTGGTGCATTGGCTTCCATGGAGTTCAGGACGAAGGGATGACCATTTTATGGGGTTTGAATCCTAACTTGAATGTTTCTCCATTGTATGCTCTAGTCCATAATGTAGAGAATGAGTACTGGTTATATGCTAACCTTTGCATTTATGTCATGTGTGCRTATCCTTGTGGCTTCTAACATACACTATAAACATATGTTTTTATTTAGATATGTAAATATATTCTGTATATATTTGTATACATGCCTAGATATGTATGTATCTATATCTTTGTCATGAAGTTCATTCTAAAAAGGTTTTACTATTGATAATWATGATGTATACATGAAAGCATTATTTTGCTTAAATTAATCGCCTATTAAACTGTTATTCTTGATGACATGTAAAACTAAGAAATTAAATATAWTTAACAAAATGAGGAAGTTCTTATATAGGTTAACAAAGGATGACAATGGGTCGAGTTAAATGGTAAACCCGACGTGACCCGACCCTATAGGGTTGGGTTAGGTCAGGTGTATTCGGCTTTTGGGCCGGGTTAGGGTTTTGATTCTTTGACCCGAGTTGGGTTTGGGTTCGGGTTTTGACTAGCCCACTCCGTTGGGTCATGATACCTACATATATGCCAAGTATTCTTGCAGTTTTTTGACTTCTAACTATATAGACTTAGTGTTTATATTTTATTTACATGTTGATTTTGATTTTCTTCTTTTTTAAAATGGAAAAARTAACACCTTAGAATGTATAAAACAACTTCCTAACTTAAATTAATGTTTTTTATGTCTCCAAAACATGTTAAAAAATACATTTGAAATGCTACAGGTCGAGTCGGGTTAAACTCTATTGGGTCGGGGTTGGGGTCGGGTTCAGGTTACGGTGCTCGAGAGTTGAGTTAGGGCCAATTATTGTGATTTGCATAATTGCATCTCAAACTACTCAAGATAGACAGTAGTTGAGATTTCCCTACAAACAATGTGGAGGGTGCACATATCTAAAAAGGCCATTATCCAATTGTGGCCCCTGCTATCTGGGGTCTTGGGAGGGGTAGATCGGATAGTGCTAACTCCTAACCTTTAGCACTTTCTTTTGCACAAAGTGGCTGCTCTTACTCTCACCATACGAGAGTGCACATATCTCTCATCCAGAAATAGTGTTCAGGGAACTTTTCATTTTTCAAGCAGTTTACTTCTATCCAACCCATACCTAACACTTCATTGTGGGAAGTTGTTTATTAGATATGGTTGTTGCATAAGTTATGCCCACTTTCTGAAGGTTTTGGGAACTAAGCTTCTATGTAGTGGATAAATAGTGGAGATATTTTAATGTTGTCTACATTGCAAATGCATTTATGAAATTCTTCTTTGTTATTTCTCTCTATTAGATATAGTGTCATGCCCCGATTTGTTGTAATGTATTTAGGAGTTTGTGTACGCTACACAGATTACATTTGAAAATGAGTTTAACAATGACATTTTGTGTAGCCAATAAAGGGGAGAATTACCAACAAAGCACAAATCATGAAATACAAAATTAGGAAAAATAAAAAACTCGGCTATACTTCACATTTACATAGCCTCTAAGAGCTAAAATTCAAGAGATCTTTGACGGGTGACATAAGAAGAACTAGGAGTAGACCAAAAGGACAAGGGTATTAGTAGTAAGAAATGATTTARGCACTAATAATTTAGCGGTGGATATGGCTTTAAATTGAATGGATTGGTGAAAAAGGATTCGTGTAGCTAACCCCATATAGTTAGGATAAGGCATGAATGGTGATGATGATGACATATTAGGGATGATTGTTTATAACCTAKYCTCGCTTGCCTGGCTTGCAAATTTGTGGACCCAAAAAGCCACATTTCTTCCAGGCCTAGCCTAGCTTCGACCTACATTAAGACTACAAAAAAGTGCAGATCTGTGATGTTTAGCTATGTTAGGATAAACCTGTTATTAGTTGTAACCTCAGAATGAACTTTCAGCTTGCAACCTTTAATTGTAACCTCAGAATGAACTTTCAACCAAATTTTTATCCTGATATAACTGATGTGATTGCAGTTCAGAAGATTTAGAATTGTCTTGAGAAATCCTACAGCTTGTCTGTGATGTTTGGGCACACATTAGACTTCAATATTTTAATATTTATGTTTATTTTATGAATATATAATTATTTTATTAGTACATTGTTATGATTTTATTAGTTTTTCATAATTAATACCTTAGTATTTATCATTAATTTATGAGTATTTTATTCRTAATTWTTATTTTATTRTYATTTTCTTATTAGTTTAATAATATTCCATTATTATTGTTTATCATTTTAAAATTAATTTAGTATTATTTAAGAAATAATGTTAGTATTTATTATTACTTTAATTATATATCTTAACATCTTATATTGTACTTAAATATTATTATGATTATTAATTAATGAATTAATACCTTTGCTTTTTTATTATTTATTTATTATTATTTTATGGATTTTTCATAAATGTTTTATTACGACTTATATTTATAATATACTCTTATTTTATTATTTTATCTTAATATAACTTTTGGAATTTTTTTTTTTTAATTATTAATGTTTTTTTTATTTTAGTGATATTGTGTTTATACTTTATTATTATATTTAATAATTAATATCTTTTTGTTATTTTTAATTTATTAATTTTTTGTTATAGTCATATTATTTTATTAATATTTAGTTAACAGTGTATTAATATTTATTGTTAATATATTATTATTATATTATTTTTAGTTGTATAATATTTTATTATTATATTAATGCTAAGATATTGAATTAGTATGCCCAAATGTCATAAACAAGCTGTAGGGTATCTCAAGACAATTCTAAATTTACAGATTTGTGATCATATTAGTTATATCGGGCTAAAAATTTGGCTCAAAGTTCATTATGAGGTTACAATATTAAAGGTTGCAAGCTGGAAGTTCATTCTGAGGTTACAACAAATATCAGGTTTATCCTAATGTAACTAAACATCACAGATCTGCATTTTTTGTGGTCTTAATGTAGGTCGAAGCTAGGCTAGGCTTGGAAGAAATGTGGCTTTTTGGATCCATAAATTTGCAAGTCAGGCCAGGTCTTAAATAATCATCCCTAATCTGTCATCATCATTATCATCCACGCCTTATCCTAGCTATCTGGGGTTGGCTACATGAATCCTTTTTCGTCAATCCATTCAAGTTAAATCCCTATCCAYTGTTAAATTTTTAGTGCCTAAATCAGTTCTTACAACTTCTACCCATGTCCTTTTTGTTCTACCCTTAGCTCTTTTTGCGTCACCCGTCACTGATCTCTTGAATTTTAGGTCTTGGAGGTTGTGTAAATGTGAAGTATAACTAAGTTTTCGTTTTTCCTAATTTTGTGGTTTGTTGGTAATTTTTCACTTTTTGGCTACACAAAATGTCACTATTAAACTCATTTTTAAATGTAATCTGTGTAGTGTGTTCACAAACTCTTGAATACATTGYAATAAATCAGGGCATGACACCATATCCAATAGGGAGAAATAGCAACTAAGAATYTCATAAATGCATTTGCAATGTAGAAAACATCCAAAAGTATATCCACTATTTATCCATGGCGTAGAATCTTAGTTGCCAAAACCTTTAGAAAGTGGGCTTAAGTTATGCAACAACCGTATCTAATAAACAACTTCTCAYAGTGAAGTGTTAGGCATGAGTTGAATAGAAGTAAATTGCTTGAAAAGTTCCCACTGAATTCTATTTTTGGATGAGAGATATGTCCACTCTCATATCGTGAGAGTGAGAGCAGTCACTTTGTGCAAAAGAAAATGCCAAATGTTAGGAGTTAGCACTATCCAGTCTACCCCTCCCATGHCCCCATATAGCAGGGGCCGTGATTGGATAATGGCCTTTTTAGTTATATGCACTCTCTACATTGTTTGCAGGGAAAATCTCAACTATTGCCTATCTTAAGTAGTTTGAGATGCAATTATGCAAATCATACTAATTGGTCCCTTACAATATCATGGAATATAGGCCATGAGAGAAGTGTCAACTGTTAACATATAGAAGAACTTGTTTATTTTATCTACAGATAAAAGATAACCTGTWGCGACTAGTCAAGTTATATCAGGATAAATTTGATTGAAAGTCCATTCTGAGGTTTAGCTAGTTATGCCARTTCTTACTTCTCCAACAATCTTTTTTCCATCAATAATTGTCTTAGATTCTCTAAAATCTTTCTACTTTTAGACATTGGAAATACTTTCTTCCATTTTTATGAAAGATCAAACTGTTGCCTAGTAGTTCTGCT